TCGTTTGGGGTTTTGGCGGGCCCCTGGATCGGGGGCACGATGACGGACTTTGGACGAGCCGGAAGCGGGAAGAACCTTCGCGAGGGAGGGTCCCCCCCGAGGCCATTCTGGGCCTGTGGGGCGGTGCGGTTCTCGGCCCAGCGGCGGAGGCCGGCGGAGGCGGGCGACGGTGGCGGGTCGTCTGACAGGTTCGTCTGCCACTTGAAGAGGACGACGGAGGCGATGGGACGTGTTGTAGAAGCCAATGTGGACCGCGCCGCTGGCGCAAGTGACGTGGAGTAGGCGGGGGGGCTGGGCCGCTGGGGAGGCGTCGAGGGCGGCGGCGGCGGTGGTGCTGCGTGTCGATGTTGCATCTGGCGTGGAGAACTGTCACGAGGATAAGTTTTTGGGCGGAATGCAAGACGTGGTGGTTCACGGTGTGCGTGCGCGCGCGTGTGTGTGTGTGTATGTGTGCGTGTGTATGTGTGTGTGTGCATTAAGAGCAGCAAGGGGGGTCGTGAGCCAGCTTGAATTCCTATCTATGAAGGTGGTTCTTATTATGCAATGTCCCTCGCTTACCGTCCGGAAGAAACATCACCCCTCTGATGAAACTCTCGTATGGGACCTTGCGAGGGCGCCCTTTTCATGCCTGACGACCACATGAACCGCGCCGTGGCCCTCGCTGCGAGAGAGAAGAACAGGGGGGTTCGCATGGGCGCGTCAGGCAAGCCCTCTCCTGGGGAGACCGGGATGGGGAACGGCTCGGGGTGTGTGTTTGTATTGGAGCTGGGTATCGGTGACCACGCCACTGAGATGGGACGAAGCCCGGACATGGCCGCCTTCTTGTAGCTCCGTGCGGCAAGGATACGGAATAGCGAGGGGAAGGGCCGCGCTTGAGAGGGGGGGGGGGGAGGAAACTTACTCTCAGGTTGATGCAGTCCTCCTCGGCGAGGAGAAAGGAGGTCAGGTCTACAAAGCCGACGCGCGTCTGGGCCGCTATGGACGAGTTGGCACCATAGCCTCGCTTCGTGAGGTGCTCGTCATCGCCGTCGTCGCCGTTCTTCTCTTGGTCGTGGTCGTGAGGCTTGTGGCAGTGCCAAAAGTCCATCATCTCAGCCCAGTTCTCGCTCGGCAGGTCTTTCCACACATCGAGCCTGTCTTCGGGAACGACGGCCTCGCCGCACTGCCGGCATGCCGTGGCTGACCTGGGGGTCAAGTCGCGGGCGCTCCACGGGACCGTCGGCTGGAGCTCATCACGCGTGCTGGGGAGCGCGACGGATGTTGAGACGGGCAGACGCCACGCGAGCGATGTTGGGCCAGATGGTGGTGTGCTAGGTATGGGCAGAGCTGAAGGCGCGGACACTCGTCCTGGAAGGCGCGCCGCTTTCGACTCGCCTCTGTGCGTGACCAGGATGCTGTC